AACGGCTTATTGAAAATGCAAATTCATTTTCTGCCAGCAGGAGGCACTTTCGAAAAGGCAGAAATATAGTGGTTTCTCATGTTTATTTAATGAAATCAAAGCCTTTTGAAGTTTAATAGTCACATTCAGCCATATCACAATTCTAGTCTTTCCGTCCACAAATTTAGGACCTCTTGAAATCATAATTAAAACTTGCTTGTAACATTTAAGACTTTTTATGGCCTTAAATTCAATAGGCTAGAACTAAATGTAAGACATTTTAAGGACCCTGTAAACCCTGTATGTAGTATTTTTTTCCAGTTCATACAAAAATGTACATTCAAGGAAAAGATTAAAGTAAAAAAAAAAAGAATGTGTGTTTCGAAATTAATTTAATAGATATTCACACTCTGTCAGAATGAGTGAAATGAATGGATACTTCTGTCAGTGCTTCTGTGATAGTGTGTCATGTATGGGTATTTTTTTGGCTGCTGTCATGCATACTTAACCAAAATTGTTATTTAATATGAAATGTAATATAATATTGAAACTGCACTGCCATCCATTTTCACAATCTGCAAGCACATGGTGAAATAACAAGGTCATGGATTTAGAAGTAATCACAATTATATGGGCTGTAATTTAAATTTGTATGCCTTTCAAAAATATGTATGTCTTTCAAAACACTGAATTAGTGCACTTATATTAAAACATACTCAATCTTAGGCATGTTAAAGTCATACATGTCTAATTTTAACAGCACTGCTGAAGATGAAAGATGGCTTAACCAATAAAACTTCATCCCTTTCAATGAAGTAAGACTTCAATATTCAAAGGCCACTTTGTGCTAGCAGCTGGCTGATAAATATACAGATATGAATGTGATCAATCCTCCTGGTGGTTGTACAAGATGTCTGCAGTGGGGTCCTTTCTGTGCGATGGAGGTACTAGGTGATTTGGAAGCTCTATAGGAAGCTCAAATCCCTCCAGTTTGATTTTAATAAGATGCTGAGCAAGAGCAAATTCTTCATCATCCAGCATGCCGTCCTTATCACAGTCTGCCAGCTTCCAGATCTTTCCCAGTACAGTGTTGGGCAGACGAGAATTCATCATCTCCCTCTTGGCATTGATGCCAGTTACTTTCCCATTGATAGGCATCAGTGTGTAGAAGATTTCATCGTAGCGATGTTTGTCGCGACTCACAATCCAGTCCTCAGTATCAGCCCCTGCACTGATACCCTCACCATAGCCGTGGCCGAAAGGCCCGTCGGACGAGTCCTCAAAGGCTCCACCCATTACCATCTGAGTAGGCTGCTTGCTTTCTTCCTCTCGGATCATGTTCATCAGGCTTGAGATCTTGGTGGACAACATTCTGTCCACAGATTCAATCAACTTCACCTTCAAAGAAGGGAACTTGCTGAAGTCGTAGTGTTGCAGTTGCTCCTGCATGTCAGTAGATGTGAGTGACAGAGGGAGATATTTTAATGTCAAACTAAAGTGTGTAATAATATAGCATAAACAGCCGATACACACTGGGTTATATTTTTTGTTTCATTATTCATTTTTTATAATGTGTTAAACAAATGAGGCATCCAAGTACTGAAGTGGTTATTTCAGTGATATGATGTCTAATTCTTATAAGTTAATTAATGTCGCCTACAGTCTATTCTTTCAAGTGCTGCCTGGAATCTGTCTGGTTGGAAAGTTCACTGAGAGCATGTGTGCAGTCAATAATTAGCAATGTTATTATAGTTAATGATTGCTGTCTTTTCATATCAATTAAAATTCTGCATCCCTGGACCTTAAGTAAATGTGAAAGACCTGAATGTGAGATGCGTCCCCATTAATCTCGGTAAAGGAATGTGAAACTCTATTACAGTGCTTGACTGATTGCTGACTAGATGTGGGGCTAGAGTCTATGGAGAGTCATGCTGGGTATACATCCTTAGGCAAGAACAAAAGAAAGTGAAAGTACAGACTCTGTCTGCTCCTCAGACAATAGCAAGGCTGGGACTCAGTATTATTAACAATTTAAGATCTTAATAATTAATAACAATTATTTATAAATAATAGTAATACATCAACACTAAATATATTAATATCAAATATGTATAGGTGTATGATACATAGATATCTGCGTAAATAAACTGTTTATAATTAATTAATATCAACTAAAATATCAGACTAAAATAATAAAATATACTGTAAGTATATAAACATAATATAAATAATAACATGATATGATAGATTTTAGGCTTAATATTCAATGTTTTATACATTCAATTATAACTATACTACAATAATATAAATAGCGCTAAACAACTTTTTAAAAGCATAAAAATGCATGGCTAAGTGTTTGGACTGTGACATTAAAACCCTTACCTTAGCAAGACGAGCTCTTTTGATGAGGTCATTCAGCTTACGCAGGGCAGCGTTGCGAGGCAAACTCTGGATGTCTCTGAAGACATCTTGTGTTTCGGCTTCAAACAGATGCCGGTTCTCTGCATTTTGAAGAGGTTTGGCCCAAAAAGAGCCGAGATAGACCCTCACCACCTCTGGAGTATTGATCACCTTCCCCAGAGACCACATCAGCGCACCATAAACCCGCATTAGCTGCTGAGTGTCCACCTGATCGGCCTTGTTCAGTACCACACGGATTTTGTCATCTTGCCCACGGAAAGCTTTGATCGCTTGAGAAAATTCATCAGATATGTCTAGCTTATGGGCATCAAAGAGGAGAATGATACGGTCCACTCGCTCTCCAAACCAGCGCAGAACCTCAGAGAAATCATAGCCTATGGGGGAAATGTCAATAGAACAGAATTAATAAGCATCAGTACTTCATAGCCCTCCATGTGAGGGAAAACAGATTGAGTGTACTGCATTCAGTACACACCATAGACACATATGTGACCCTGGACCACAAAACCAGTCTTAAGTCGCTTGGGTATATTTGTAGCAATAACCAAAAAAACATTGTATGGGTAAAAATTATCGATTTTCTTTTATGCCAAAAATCATTAGGATATTAAGTAAAGATCATGTTCCATGAAGATATTTTGTAAATTTCCTACCGTAAATATATCAAAACTTAATTTTTGATTAGTAATATGCATTGCTAAGAACTTCATTTGGACAACTTTAAAGGCGATTTTCTCAGTATTTTGATTTTTTTTTGCACCCTCAGATTCCAGATTTTCAAATAGTTGTATCTCGGCCAAATATTGTCCTATCCTAACATACATATGATGTATACATCTCAATTTTAAACAATTTACCCTTATGACTGGTTTTGTGGTCCAGGGTCACATATACAATAGTAAAACAATAGTAATGACACAATACAAAACATGTATAGTGTCACGAATCCGGTCCGTGGACTTCCATCCGATCGCCACCAGAGGTCACTCGTCCATCATATTGACTCTCTCACTACACTGACTGTTGCACGTCACCACGGACTACATTTCCCATGCACCATTTCACTAATCACACGCTCACCTGAGAGCCATTACACACTATATTTAACACTCTCTCAGTTCCTGTTCAGATCGCCGTGTATTGTTCTGCGTTT